TCATTACTCAAATTTTATGATAGCCGCACAATTCTATATGACACGTCACGATTCTATAGTTTCTCTATACTCTCCTCCTCATCATCATGTGAGTTAAAATCTTGTTTTCTTTAATTCTGGGATGAACAGGTTGGTGAAGGAAGGGTTTGCCTGTGGTGCCACCTGCAGGGCTCCATGAAAATAAGTGTCAATACTGCAATCCTCTCAGGCTCTAGAAATGTAACCTCAGGCTTCTTTTCTTAAAAAAATTTTATTTATTTATTTTATTTTTTATATGTTTTTATTGATTTCAGAGAGGAAGGGAGAAGGAGAGTTAGAAACATCAATGATGAGAGAGAATCATTGATTGGTTGCTCCTGGATACCCCGACTCAGGATCGAGCCCACAACCCAGGCATGTGCCCTTCGCCGGAATCGAACCTGGGACCCTTCAGTCCACAGGCTGATGCTCTATCCACTGAGCCAAGCCAGCTAGGGCTAAAAGATAATTTTTAAAAAATATATTCTTACTGATTTTAGAGAGGAAGGGAGAGGGATAGAGGGATAGAAACATCAACGATGAGAGAGAATCATTGATTGGTTGCCTCCTGCATGCCCCCCACTGGGGATGGAGCCCACAACCCAGGCATGTGCCCTTGGCCGTAATCAAACCTGGGATCCTTCAGTCCACAGGCTGAAGCTCTATCCACTGAGCCAAACTGGCTAGGCTAGGGCAACCTCAGGCTTCTTTTAGCAATTTAATTAAATCAATATTTGCTTTGAAATAGATGATGACAATTTCAAGAAAAATCCTGGAATTTGAAAACTATGCTTAAGTCAAAAAATAAGATGTACTGATCACAGCTGAAACTTTGGGGCTTCTGAATATTCCAAGAGCACAGAAAAAGATTTGTCTAAGGGATAATTTATTCTTGAAATAATGGAATAAAAGATGCCATATTCCTGGTTTATCACTTGGTCCTTGGGCAGCCCTTAAGAGATGAGAAGCACTTGGCGAGCTAATGACATCCGCAATGGCAGTGACTAAGCTTCCTCTCGGATGCCCGGTGTCAGGGCGGGTCACGGGGGCCTACCAGCTCATTCTCCAAGCCTATATTTTACACCATTTGGGGAGAGGGTTAAGTGTTCTTTGCCAAAGTTCAACAGCCTGCCCCTTCAACCTGTGTCATCAGAAGGAGATTTCGGAAATTGGAAGTGTGACGATTAAATACAGTTACTGGGATTAGCAAATGCTTCTTAAAGAGTCAGAGGTTTCGATTTTCCTCACAACAGGCTGAATTGATGATGATCATGTAACTTAAAATTCACTGGACACAAAATATGCTGAAAAGAGAGGCCTACACGCTGTGCTCAGAATTTTAAACGTGATACGTCTCAGGGTGCTGCGTCAGAGGGTGACTGCTGGCCTTCCTGCTGTGCTGGGGGCGTTTCCTCCTGTCTGGGGGGCAGTCAGGATGGAGGGAGGCAGACCTCCTCAGGTCCTTGGTTGGTGGAGAACCTCAATTGTGTGTTTGGGAATTCTCTGTGGTCAGATGACAAGTAGTACGAAGATATTCAACAAAAGTTGGAAGGGCCCAGCTGGTGTGGCTCAGTGGTGGAGTGGTGACCCATGAACCAAAAGGTCTCGGTGCGATTCCTAGTCGGGCACATGACTGTGTTTTGGGCTCCATCTCCAATACTGTGAAAGAATAGAAAACATTTTTAGAGCCTGTAATAAGAGAAATCCCCAGGTATAGTTTGTTCACTGGGAAAGAAGTCAGCCAGGGTAATTCTAGCTTCAAAGAGGAATGTCTTTTGGAGGTTTATCTCAAGTACCTTCCTTCTCTTCCTCCTCCCACTTCCCTCCTCCCCTCCCTTCCTCACTCCCTTCTCTTAGTCTTGTCCTTCTCTCCTTCTCCCCCTACTCCCTCCCCTTTTTCTCTTTCTCATCTGGATGGAATGATGCAAGTCCCCTTCATTTTATTTTATTTATTTATTTTTTTTAAAATATATATTTTATTGATTTTTTACAGAGAGGAAAGGAGAGAGATAGAGAGTTAGAAACATCGATGAGAGAGAAACATCCATCAGCTGCCTCCTGCACACTCCCCACTGGGGATGTGCCCGCAACCCAGGTACATGCCCTTGACCGGAATCGAACCTGGGACCTTTCAGTCCGCAGGCCGACGCTCTATCCACTGAGCCAAACCGGTTTCGGCAAGTCCCCTTCATTTTAGAACCTCCTAATACATGCAGCGTACAGTTAGACACAGTCATCAAAACAACACATTTTTGAGTTAAAAAATTTTCTTTATTAATAAAGCAAATTGCTAGCAATTCAATCTGAAAAACTAAATATGATTCTTTCTTCATCAGATTTTCAGAAATATAATGTTAACATGTTTTCAAAGAGTTCTACTTTGTTCTAGGACTCCAAACATATTTAAACTTAATGCATTTCAGAAAAATAAGCAAACTGTTTCCTAAGGTGTGTGGGAGAGACGGGATCGGGTGGCTGAAGCAGGGATGGTGAGTTGCTCACTCAGATTCAGATTTGCAAAGTTCAGTGAGGACAGAGCTGCTCAGGGCTGTGGCTGCAGTTCTTACTGGTCTTGCCCTTTTATTTGTCCTCATAAATAACATGGCTTTGCTTTTCCATATTTTACAGTCTTTCTCCCAACATTAGGCTATTTTCTTCTAATAATAGTAAAAACAATCATAGTACTAGAAGGAACTACTTACCAAGTTCCTTTTCTGGGCCGGCTCAGTGGGGCCACCCTGGGGGAGGGGCATTACCCCAGCCACATTCGAGAGGCACAGACACCTTCATTTTCCAGGTGATTGCAGCTGGTTTTGGTTAAATGGCTCTTCCTGTTCAGCAGAGCAGCCTGGATCTGAAGCCCATCTCTAGGGTATCATCTCGGGCTCCTCCTGCCCTCCAGGATGCTGCATCCCTTTCCAGGACAGAGTCACCCTCCTGGAGTCCCACTGTGACCATATCTGCTCACCTGCTCCATGGTCCTCGTAGCTTGTCAATAAGGTAAGAACCCTTGGTCTGAAAACCAAGGCTCTCCTATCTGCACTCCCTTCAGTGACCCTCCCCTCCAGAGGACACGTCGCATGTCATTCATTGTACCTCCTGCCTTGCACTGTCTCGCACCCCTGACTTTTCCATACAGTGGTGACTCCTGTCTGTTTGAGAGGAGCTTGTGGACAGCCATGTTGTGTAGCCTTTTCTAGGGCAGGTGAGTTGTTGGGCTCAAGGGACAGATGTGGGTGGTCAGCTGAGGGCTCTGCTGCCCTGTCACTCCCTTTGAGGCCCTCTGTGTTGAAATCTGACCATTGGCCAAGGCTCAGCCAGACTATTCCCATCACAATGCCCATCTCAGTGTCTGCCCTCTGCTCACCCTCCCCTCCAGTGGGCTTCACTCATAGTGCACACAACACCTTGCCTTATCCTGCAGTATTTGTGGGTATAAACTCCCCTTTCAGACTGCAACAATGGGACGAGGTGCCCTGCCCCCTCTCAGATTGCTCAGGAGTGCCTTGCATTGGTTCAGACTGGACAAAAACAGAGCCACTGCTGCCTGCAGAGGAGGGCCACAGCAGTCTCTCTTATAAAATACTAGAGGCCCAGTGCACGAAATTCGTGCACATGGGGGTCCCTCAGCCTGACCTGTGCCCTCTTGCAGTCTGGGAGCCCTCAGGGGATGTCTGACTGATGGCTTAGGCCCGGGGAGCGGCCTAAGTTGGACATCTTAGCGCTGCTGTGGAAGCAGGAGAGGCTCCCACCACCACTGCTGCACTAGCCAGCTGGGAACCTGGCTCAGGACTTCTGGCTGAGCGGCGCTCCTCCTATGGGAGCTCACTGACCACCGGGGGGCAGCTCCTGCATTGAGTGCCTGCCCCCTGGTGGTCAGTGAGCATCATAGTGATTGGTCGATTTGCATATTAGCCTTTTATTATATAGGATGGTGTCTAATAGCAAACTTGAGGTCAAGTGAGGCCAACCAATCAGGAGATGATTGACATTGAAAAGATAGTTTATTACTCATTCCTCAGAGATGGAACAGGCCTCGCCATGGGGGCCACATGGGGAAGCACCAGGGTTGGTCAGAAGTGGGGGTGTGGGCAAGAGCCTTTATTGTTATTTCCACAGAAGGAATGGGTAAGGCAGGATAGACGGGTTAGGCTTAGGCTTAGGCTTAGGCTTATGGTTAGCTACTCAGAATAACTTCAGCGGGCTCTGGGGCAGAAGGGTTGCTTGGTACCTGTCCTCGGGTGGCTGGTGTCCTGGGGCATGAGCACCCAGTGAAGGCGGGGCTGGGGTGTGCGCTCTGGGTTGGTTTGCATTTGAAAAGCATGCTGGGCTGGCAAGTTATTTACTATCCTGGAATGATAACCCTGGTGGGGGGAGGGGGGGCGGGGTGTGACGGCAGAGTCTCTCCAGAGTCATCAGAGCCCCAGATGTCAAAGCATCAGAATTCAGGAAATCAAGTGACTGCAGTCCTAGACCATCAGAACATCTCTCCTGTTACAGATGCTTGGGCTGAGCTGAGCGCAACCTTTATCGGTCTGTGGCTTTCTGGACCACGCCCTAGAGCTGGATCGGTTGGGTTTGGTGAGAATGTCAGACAGAAGACCCGTATGTGGTAAATATGTCTGGCTCACAGCCCCTCCAGCGTCCTTCTGGGGAGCCCTGGGAAGCACCAGTGGGCTCCGGGGAAGGGGCTTTTATCATGGAACCGATGTCCTCCCTCAGTATGCACATCTGTCATGTTTTGGGGACAGTCTTTCCAGGTGGCCGGGCTTCAGGAGGAGGGGGCATTGTCCAGGAGGCAGTGGGTCCGAAGCCTTGGGGGCAGCGTGCATGCTGCTGACCCCTCCCGGGCAGGAGACAAACCTCGCAGCAGCAGGTACCCCTTAGGCACTTTCCGATACAAGTCCTATGCGATGCACGATGTTCATCCTCACAAGCAACCTGAGAGGCAGTGAGGGCTCTTACCGCATTCCCAGGGGCCTGAAGCTCAGGCAGGTCTGCACTGGCCAGTGGGAGGTCCCACCAGGCCCGCAGGTCCCCACCAGGGCGCTCTCACCACCCAGCCACCACGGAAGCAAAGAGGAGACCAAGAACAAGTCCAAACGCTCTGGTTTTCAGTGCAAAACACCCTCTGGCTCCAAAAGGAGGTAGCTTTGCAGGGTCGCCGGCAAGGGTAACAGAGGCACCAGGCGGAAGCAGTGTTTGCCAAGCCGTCTGCGAATGGCACAGCGGCAGAGGTGCAGCAGGCGGCGCGGGCTGCCGGCCAAGGCGAGGAGAGACCGGTAGAAAGGCCGGTGTGCCTGGCAAGGAAGGCGGGACGTCAGTGTGAGACCAGCGGACACACGGGAGCCACACCTGTGGACTCAGGTGCTGGCCCCCACCCTGGTCTGGACACCAGGTCCTTGAGCCCTGCCGTCCCTCTGGTCAGCGTGGGACTGCTCCTCCTGCTCCTCGTAGGACACCCCGACTGTAAAGGAGCTCCTGGCTGGTGAATGCCAAGCGCCCACAGGAAGGCAGAGGGACTCAGATGCACCCCCAGGTCGCTTCCGCTTTCCTTCTCCAGAGGTTTACACCCACCTGGAGATGAGAGCAGAACGCCTGGCCCCGCACAGAAACAGGCGGCGATTCGGCCCCGACACGGAAGGCAGGCGGCTCCCTCACCTGAAACACCTCCTCCGGAATCACCTCCCTCCAGGACTCGGACACGCGGAGCTGAGGGTAGGCGTTGAACAGGACCTCGATGACCGCAGGGGCTGGCGCGCAGGTCTGCAGCACCTGTGGGAAGTGGGGAGGCCACGTTCAGGTTGACTGGGCTTGGGGTCCAAGTGCGGAAAGGGCAGGGAGATGGAGGTGTGTCTGTGTGACCTGACTGTCCTCAGTCCCTCTGGGAACAGGGGCGACCACAGTGGCAGCACAGCTGGGCAGGTGAAGGGCTGCAGGAGGAGTTCACAGATGAGCACAAGGCCGCGCTGGGCAAGGGGCCCTGTCCCGCCATCGTGCAAATCTGGGCAAAGTGCTCAGCATCCGGGTTCAGGAGCAAGCAGGGGAGGGGGGGTGCGAGGGGGGACGGGGGTACTCTGGAGAGCTGCTCAGGGAACAGCATGAGGTTCTGCTGGGAGCGCATGGTGGAGGACAGTAACCCCAACTTCTCACCTCAACTTTCTAATGTCAGGACATTGGCGAAGAGAACTGCTTTGCTGTGGAGTTTCCCCTCTACTTGGCCCTTCCCTTTTATTTTCACAGTCCCCATGGTCAAAGGACTCCTATTTTATTATTTGCAAATTTAAAATTCATCAGCTTTATCATAAAGGTGGGAACACTTTGCTTTTAAAAAGTAAACTTTTTTTTTGTTGTTACGAAGAAATTTGAATGGACACAAAACTGGATCCAATAGTATGATAAGCCCCCATGTACCCAGCATCATCCCATGGTGAATCCTGACCCATCCACCCTCAGCCCGTCTCCCTCATATTATTTTAAAGCAAATTCTGGGCATTCTGCCATTTCACCCGCACATATTTTACTGTGTTCTCCTAAAGGACCCTTTAGAAGAAATATCTACACAGTATCACTATAGCACCTGAGAAATTAACAAGACTGACTTTCTTAGTATCATATAGTCAGTGTTTAAATTCACAGCACTCTCTTCAATGCCATTATATTAAAAATAATTTGTTTGAATAAGAATCTAAACACATGAGGTTAGTTGATATGATGTAGTTTTAGAACTTTCTGTTTCTTTGTTGAAGAAACTGGGTTATCTGCCCCGGAGTCTCTCACTGTTGGGGTCCTGCGGGTGTGTCCCTGTGGGTGCTGGAACGCGCTGCTCCTCCGCTGCTTTCTGTGAGTCAGTAGCTGGACTTGGAAGCTCCATCACATTCAGAGTTGATCTTGGCGTGGGGGTGGGGGGGGGGGGGGCGAAACCGCATAGTTCTCTGTTTTTGAGGCTTGAGATTTACTGAGTGTAATACAACTGTTCTTTGTATTTTTTCAGATTGAGAAAAACGGAGTTCAAGCAATTTTTCTAAGACCAGGCAGCAAATACCTACAGCAGACAACAGTGAGAGCCAGCAGGTAAGCCCGGCTGCACCATCTCCCTGGGCTCCCCGAGCACAGAGCCAAACAGGAAAAGGTACCGTATTTAAGTCACTCGGGATGGCCGCTCCCTTACAGCCTGTCCAGGTTCCTTCACATCTAAACCTCCTTTAAAAAAGAGAAACAGCCCTGGCTGATTTGGCTCAGTGGGTAGAGCAGTGATGGCGAAACTTTTGAGCTCGGCGTGTCAGCATTTTGAAAAACCCTAACTTAACTCTGGTGCCATGTCACATATAGAAATTTTTTGATATTTGCAACCATAGCAAAACAAAGATTTATGTTTTTGATATTTATTTTATATATTTAAATGCCATTTAACAAAGAAAAATCAACCCAAAAAATGAGTTCGCGTGTCACCTCTGACACGCGTGTCATAGGTTCTCTATCCCTCTCCCTTCTTCTCTGTAAAAATTCAATAAAATATATTAAAAATAGAGAAACAACAGTTCATAGGTCTTTTGTTCGGAATAAACCCTATATTGTGTTTACTCACGTTTTATGCATTTAGACAAAACATTAATATATGTAAAAATGGGCTAATACTTTGTATATTATTTTGAAACTTGATTTTTGTCTACTCAAAATTGACTGTGAACAAAAATGATAAATGAGCATCATTTTAGTAGCCATATAATATTATTTTACGAATGGATCATCATGTATTCAGTGAAATGAACTACCCTCAGTGGAAATGATAAACAATGAACATTCTTGAACATAAGTCTATCTCTTGCTGCCCCAAACCATTCTTAGGTAATAATTCTGCCCCCTTCCTACACTGAATTCCTGGAAGGAGAAGTGCAGGGTCAAAACGTAGGTACATTGTCAAGCTTTTAAAGGATATTGTCAAATTGTGAGTGTGTAAATTGTTACACTTCTTAAAGAATTGAGTATGAGAGTGCCTCTTTCTCCCTGCCCAAATCATCGCATTCATTATTTAAATTTGATAAGTACAAGATGGAATGTTTACACGTGTTTTGGTTGACCATTTGTCTTTCTTCTTTTCTGAATTGTTACATTATGTCTTCTGCTCATTTTTTCTCTAGTGTGTTCAGTCTTTTCATTGATTTGTAAATACACCTTATTTATGAAGGTTATGTTTCATGGAGACAATCATTTTTGCAAATAATGGTATTTTCTCCTCACTATTCATATTTCTTATTTAATTTTCTTGTCTAATTACATTGGCTAGAGCTTCAAGTTCAATGTTAAACAAAATTGATAGCAGGCATCATTATCTTATTTTTAATTTTAATAGGATTGTCTGTAATGTTTCATCATAGATATAATCTTGGATATTAGTTTCAGATTGATACTCTGTTCTAAGTTAAGGAAATATCTTTCCATTCCGAGGTTACTACAAATTTCAGGACTTAACTTTATTTTTTGCCTTTTTTAAAAAAACAAGTTGATATAAAAAGATTTTCCAATATTGACTCACTTTTGCTTTCATAAAACAGACTTTGCTATTCTTCTAATTATAATGGAAGATTTAATTTACTAAGATTTTTGCATCTCTTTTAATAACTAAATTTGGTTAACAGTTTTAGTTTTTTGAGCTATTTTTGTCAGGTTTTAATATGTTAACTTAATAAAAGTACCTGAGAAAATTTCTATCTTTTTTAATACCCTGAAAGATTTTAAAAAGTAGATAATTATTGAATTAAGAAAACATGATTGATCTTGCACTTGATATTATCTAAGCCTGTCATTTAATTGCAGGTAATAATTTGATATTTTCTATTTCTTCCCTAGTTACTGGCATATTTTGTTTTCATTTCTTCTTGAATCAATTTTGTGAGTCTATATTTTCCTGGGAAATGATCGTCACTGTACAGACATTTAGCGTTGCACAGGTATCAGCGAGGGTTCCAGTGGGAAACAGAAGGCATGTCTGATATAGGATGATTTCAGGAAGGTGCACTGATACAGGGGCTGTTGAGCTCAGTGTGAGTGCAGGGGAACTGCCAGGGATAGCACATGATAGTGGAGCGAGCTGGTAGCAGCACTATTCCATTCCTGAGCCAGAGGGTGAAGATGGGGTGGGCTGTCCTCCTGGGGCAGTGATCCCTGGTGGGGAACACACAGCCAGCCTGTAGCAGACAGCAGGCCCAGTGAATACATCCTCTGACCTCACTTTCCTCCCTTCCCTCCTGCAGTTGAGATGGCACTGGCCAAACCCAGCAAGGCAGGGGGCAGGAGCCTGGTCTGTGTGTCCCTCTATCGGGACAGGAGATATCTCCTATTTACATCTCCTTTGGAAATAATTTTGGTATTTTCATTAGTTTTACAATGTGCCTTACAATTATTTGTCTCTCTTTTCACTGGGTTGTATGCTTACCGCCTGTCCGTTAAGCCATTCATTCCACAGATATTTACCAAGCTCCTACTAGAAGCTAGGAGTGTGTAGCTCTGTGTGATACAACGGCAAGCCCTGCCTTCATGGAACTTTACAGTCCCAACAACACAGTCCAAACACTAATAATAATGTGCAGTGAGTGCCACGGCCCTGCGGAGGTGCTAGAAATGGCACCTAACTCAGACCCGGGCTTGCAATGGGGTGGTGAGTTGCTCAGGGAAAGACTTCTGGAAAAAGTGACATTCAAGCTAAGATCTAGCTACAGAGTAGGAGCGACAAAAGGTACGGAGAGTTCTGGGGGCAGGAGTGCTCTAGGTGAACACATTTACCAAACTTGGAAGGTGAGAAGGACCAACACCTGTTGGTTGGCTCATGAGAGCAGAGACCAGAGATCAGAGAGGAAGGCAGGGTCAGATCATGAAAAGTGTTGTCTGCACACAGGTCAGGCCCGCACCAGCCACAGGGCCACAGACAGGCTGCTCCAACCCCAGACATCTGCACAGCCCATGCCTACCTCTCTCAAGTCTTGACTCAAAGTTCACCCACCCTCAGTGCCACACCTAAAACTGCAGCTGCTTCTCTCTTGAGGCCTCATCACTTCATTGGTCCATTTATTATGTTCACTGCTTACAGTGTCTTCCCTTTAGAATGTAAGCTCCATGAGGGCAGGGTACTGCTTTTTCATTATCCACTCCTACCGCCTATCACTCAATAAATATTTGTTGAATAAATAAAATAAATAGAAGAATGCTTTTTATTTTTTAAAAAATGCATTAGGAAGCCTTGTCTTATGTCTTGATATCTGCAGGTGTTTTTCTTTCACCATCAAAAGGAAAGCCATCCTGGCTGAGGTTAGAATCCTCTGTCCAAACTTTTCCTTTAAAAATCTGTAGACGACATTTTGTTGTCTTAGGATAATACTGCAGCAGAGAAATCTGGGTCCAGCCTGGTTTTCATTGCTGTATGGATAGCTTTTAACATTAGTTCTTTGTCATGAACACTGGGGCTGACTCCCCAACACCCCAAATGATTTGATTAACCCAGTCATGGTAATTCCATCCTTTTTGATGTTCATGGGTCTGGGGCCGGGCACATCCTGCCCCCCCGCCTTCCTCACTCACCCCAATGTGCTCTTGCCGTGTTGACACTTCTGCTAACACAGCTGCCACTAGCCTGCCAGCTCCTGGAACATGGCCCTCTCAGACACCCACTGTCCTCTTCTGTGTTGGGAGAACCACGCCATTAAGATGAGGGTTCGCACTGCACCCCCAGATCTAGTCGGGTCACATACAGATGAGCTCCAGGCCATGCTGGCTTCCTCAGGCTCCCCTG